CATGCATAAATGGGACGGGCCGGCAAGCTCTGGGGTGGCCTGGGGAAGGTTGGCTGCCACAGGTCGAAGGTCGGCTGGGGGCCTTGGAAGACCACAGGGCTTCCAAGAGTGTCCCAGACAGAAGTGATCTTGTTCTCTCTGGGACTTCCTCAGCACATGGGCTGGACTTTTGTCGAGCTGGATAGCTCTACCGCGTGTTGCCGCCATGTTTGTCCATGACTCAACCTCCACTGGCTGAACTGTGTGGTCCTTGAAGACAGAGACCATGTCTGTATCCCCGCAGGACCTGACACATAGTAGGCAGCCAGAACATATTTGTTGAGTGAATAGATGGGAATATCAATGGCCAAGTGAGACAACGATTCTGAAAGACTTTCTGGGTTTTCAGTGCGGCAAACATTCATAAGGTTCTGCTCAGGAACCTCATGGTTCCTGGTGCTAATCTCACTCATTCCTCAAACGTTAGCACTTATTCTGTGCCAAACCCTGGGCTGAGCACTGGGATTACCAAGATGTCTGAACAATAGGCCAATTATGTTCTAATAGAACAGGTAAGACACATATGGGGGACCCCAAAAACCCGGACTTTATTTATAAAAATTGTGTATTTATTCTTACATGTTTAAACTTTGGTCACCTTCAAAGGACTCTCTGATGCAGTCCATCTGTCAAGATGCTTTTTCCACTGCTCAAAACAGTTTTTGAGCTTGTCCGTTTTGATGCCGTTGAGTGCTTCTGCTGTTTTTTGTTTCATCTCTTCCACATTGGCAAAACATTTCCCTTTGAGGACTTTTTCATTCAGGGAAACAAACAAACAAAAAATCACTCAGGGCAAGGTTGGGCGAATAGGGAAGGTGGGTCATGGGGGTCCTGCCAGTTTTGATGAAAAACTGCTGAACACTCAGCATGGTACGGGCAGTTGCGTTGTCCTGGTGGAAGAATCAGTCACCTGTTTGTCACAGCTCCGGATGTTTCTTCCACAAATTGTGACATATAGCAACACTAGCTGATCCACTGATGTTGATGGTTCCTAGAACACTTACTAGCGGGGGAAGCCCGTGCTACAAGGGGCCTGCCCTCCAAAAAGGTAATTCCCTTTCTTGGGACCCCTCATCTATGAATAGCTTCATTATCATTTGGGAAAACCTAAGACCCCAGAAGAAGATAGGTGCCTTCCTGGTGGGGTGAGGACACTCAGCTGATGTTGGCATTAAAGAATAGAGGAGCTTTATGTCTCCCACATGTATGGAGGCCCTGACAGCCCTTCAAAGATTCTTAGCTATGAACGACAACAGAACTAACTTCGGTCAGACTTTTTAGTTCAGAGAAGGGTTTGTGCCAGTGACTTGCCTCTGCTCGCTGTGAACTAGATCAATTCGTGGTACTCGTTGGGACTTGGGGGAAGCGGTGTATGTGTGAGTGTCAGTCTCCTACAGTGTCATATTTCCCAAGTATATATTGAGGTGGGAAAGGGAGACAAATACTGGTCTGAGTCAGATGCTGTTCTGGAACGTGATGTGATTGGGCACTCAAGCTGCTGCTGCCCCCCATATTCCTGCCTCCTTTTCTCCTTGGCCACAAGGGACATGGAAGTCAAGAAAGCATCAAGTGGCTGGGCAGGGCAGCTCACACCTGTCATCCCAGCACTTTGGGAGGCCAAAGTGGGAGAATTACTCGAGGCCAGGAGTTTGAGACCAGCCTGGGCAACAAAGTAAGACCTCGTCTCTACAAAAAATTAAAGAAGAAAGAGAGAGAGAAAGCATCCAAGGAGGTAAGACTAGTATGACTGCAAAGAAGTCATGTAGAGTCCCACTCAAGAGGCCTGCTGCTTGCTGGCATTTTGGAGAGCATGTGACTGAGGTGACTGTCTTAGCTAGGAGCAGCTCAGTGGAGGGATTATCAGCAACATTGGGCACTGGCATTGGAGAAACCTGGGTTGCTTCTTGGCTCTGCTGAATGAGCTCTATGGCCTTAGGCAAGTCACCCCACATTTCTGTTTCCTCATCTCTGAAAATTAGTACAAAGTGTCTGGCGTGTAGTACCTGCTCTAAAAATTTTGCTAGTATTACTTTTTTTGTTTGTTTTTTTTTTTGAGTCAAAGTCTCATTATGTTGCCCAGGCTGGAGTGCAGTGGCACGCTCATGGCTGCTGCAGCCTCAACCTGCTGGGCTCAGGTGATCCTTCTGCCTCAGCCTTCCAAGTAGCTGGAACTACAGGTGTGCGCCACCATGCCCGGTTTATTTTTTGATTTATTGTAGAGATGAGGTCTTGCCAAGTTGCCCAGGCTGGTCTCGAACCCCTGAGTTCAGGCAATCCTCTCACCTCAGACTCCCAAAATGCTGGGATTACAGGTTTGAGCCCAGCTGCTATTTTTTTTTTTTTTGAGTCAAAGTCTCACTCTGTCACCCAGGCTGGAGTGCAGTTGCACACTCGTGGCTACTACAGCCTTGACCCGCTGGGCTCAGGCAATCCTGCCTCAGCCTTCCAGGTAGCTGGGACTATAGGCGCACACCACCATGCCCAGCTATTTTTTTTTTCTAATTATTGTAGAGATGAGGTCTTGCCAAGTTGCCCAGGCTGGTCTTGAACCCCTGGACTCAGGCAATCCTCTCAATCCTCTTACTCATCCCAAAGTGCTGGGATTACAGGCATGAGCCACCATACCCAGCCATATTTTTTTATTTTTTTATTTTATTAAAAATAGAGACAGGATCTTGCTATGTTGGCCAGACTGGTCTCAAACTCCTCAACTCAAGCAGTCCTCCCAACTCGGCCTCCCAAAGTGCTGGAATTACAGGTGTGAGCCACCGTACCTGATCAGTTTTGCTAGTATTCTTATTAGCATTTTTGCTTTTGCCAGATCCATGACTGGCCCTTTGCCAGATAGATTAGATTCTTAGAGTCTAGATTTTGCAGGTTCAAAACCCACCTGAGCAACTTAACAAGACCTCATCTCTACAATAAATCAAAAAATTAGCCGGGCGTGGTAGCACGTGCCTGTAGTTCCAGCTACTTGGAAGGCTGAGGCGGGAGGATCGCCGGAGCCCAGCAGGTCGAGGCTGCGGTGGCCGGGAGCGGCCACTGCACTCCAGTCTGGGCAATAGAGTGAGACTCCAACTCAAAAAAAACAAAAAACAAAAAAGCCGAGTCTAGATTTTTACATAAATACCTGTATAGCCAGGGGAGGCCAGAATTTCTGGGAGATCCTCCAGGACAAGACATCATGGCCTCCTTCCTACCCACTCAGCCAGCATCATTCCTTCCAGAAAGTAACCTGCCCTGGCCTCTGTTCTTTCTTCCTTGCAGTCCTATTAAGGATAGCTCGGCCACCTCTGGTCTTCCACAGCGTCTCTGGGCAGCCCTCTGGTGGTGTGCCCCTAGAGCTCTTGACTCAGGTCAAGCTTTGGCTGGTGTCAGTTTTAGAGAAAGCAAGCCATTGTGGAAGCTTGTTGCCCCGTGGCCTTGGGGCTCAGGTGACCTGTTGGCTTTTTCCAGAGACCACTTATCACATGCTGGAGGAGGGCGTGGTGGACTACTGCACAGCCGAGGCACCCCCGCCTCTGCCGGCCGAGGCCCCCGTGGAGATGATGGCCCAGCATACGGATACCTCCGTCAAGCCGCAGGCACTCAAGAGCCGCATCGCCCTCAACTCCACCAAGTTGATCCAGGAGCAGTGGGAATCCAACCTGCATGTGAAGGAGATTGCCCAGCACCTGGAGCAGCAGAACAACCTGCTGCAGATGATCTGCCGCTCACAGGAGGTGCAGGCCTGTGCCCAGGAGCCTCAGGCACAGGCCATGGAGGGCACCCAGGCCGCCCTGAGTGTCCTCATTCAGGTGCTCCGGCCCGTGATCAAGGATTTCCGCTGCTATCTGCAGAGCCACACGCCCAGTCCTGCCCCTGCTTCCGAGCCTGGACAGGTGACTCAGAACGGGCAGCCAGACAGCATCATCCAGTGAGGGCAGGGTGGAGCTTACTTCTTCCATGATTGGATGACGGCTCTGGGGTCTTGTAAGTGGGTTCCGTGATCTGCCGGCCACATGGACAGCTCCCTTTCTGATAAACATTTAGGGAGCCACTGTTCCTGAGAAATCTGGGAGACTGGGAAGAGGCACCTGTGGGGCTCTTAGGACCCAAACTTACTCCCCCCGAGATCCAGATTGTTTAGCTGGGGGAGATGTGTGTGTGTGACAGGACACATGTTGTCTCGAGCCAGGGCTTGTGACACAACCCAGACTTGGCTAAGACAGTGGTAAGGAACAACCTGCTGGGGTCTGTGCTGATTGGCCCTGCCCCCGTGACGTCCCTTTGAGTAAGATCACGACAGTGGTGCTGGCAGTTGGGCAGTAATACCTTCCTCCCTCAAGAGGTGGCGTGACTGAGCCTGAGGGGGAAGCCTACTCTCTTCTGCTTCTTCGTGTGCCTCATTTCTCAGTGGACTCGGATTACTGCTGTGCTCCCCCCACCCCACCCAGGCACAGTGCAGGCCCTTGTGGGTGCCCTGGGATGCCTCTGCACTATGGCTCAGGAATGCTGTGTGTATTAAGGATAGCTCGGCCACCTCTGGTCTTCCACAGCGTCTCTGGGCAGCCCTCTGGTGGTGTGCCCCTAGAGCTCTTGACTCAGGTCAAGCTTTGGCTGGTGTCAGTTTTAGAGAAAGCAAGCCATTGTGGAAGCTTGTTGCCCCGTGGCCTTGGGGCTCAGGTGACCTGTTGGCTTTTTCCAGAAGGCTTACTCCAAGCCAGCTCTATTTATTCTGTACCTGAGCCCTTCCTGGGAAGGCTTCCAGGAGGAGGAGGGCAGCCCTTTCTCCTTTCCTCTCATGCTGAACATCCCACCTGGACTCATTCGCCCTGCCGCGCTCGGTGCCTAGTACCTCGTGTTCTTGTGAGACTCCCTCCAGCTGAGCGAACCGGAAGCCACAGTTGGCCCTGAATGGAGGCAGTAGAGGCAAAGCTGGCGTGAGAGGTGGGGCCCTCTGTGTTCCGTGCTGGAGAGGAGCTGGCAGACCCTGTGAGCCGAAGGAGGTGCTATTCCCTGGCCCGTTGTCATACTTTCTCCACTGAAACATCTGGAAGGATTTGACCCAGAGGGCATTTGCCTGTTTCCTTTTCAGACTCACCATTGATTACTGAGGCCCTTGCATCTCCCCACAGCGTGTCCCGAGTTTGCGGTTTTGCTGCCGGTGACTTGGCCTCACGTGACCCATGGTGCCAACTCCAGGCTCCAGAACTCAGCTAAAACAGTGAAGGTGTTGCCCTGCTGGGCACAGATGTTTAGAACTGCTCAGCTCCGCTCTTGCAATCACCGGGAGATGCCCCTGAAGACAGCTAGTAGAAGGTGACTCTGTGCCACCACCTCCCCATGCAGGCATGGGTGCAGCGCTGGCTCCTGGGAGGTGGAGAGGGATCGGGTCCAACAAGAGAATTGGGCGAGGAAGGAATGCTGTTAGCATGGCTGGATGGCAGCAGCGACCCCAGCAGCCAGGGCACCCTTGCTCCACATAGCCTGACAGCCTCAGCAGGGTAAATGCAGGAACTCGCAAAGATCTGAGACCTGGTTTGGTTTTTCTGGGTTTGGAAATCTGAGTCAATATTGTGTCTGTACCATTTGCATATAAAGAAGCCTGGATTACTTAAACTGACTAGTTCTTTCCAGGTCATAATTTTATTTTATTTTATGTATTTATTTATTTATTTTTGAGTTGGAGTCTCACTCTGTCGCCCAGACTGGAGTGCAGTGGCCACTCCCGGCTACCGCATCCTCGACCTGCTGGGCCCCGGCGATCCTTCCGCCTCAGCCTTCCGAGGAACCAGAATTACAGGCATGCGCGACCACGCCCGGCTGATTTTTTGACTTATTGTAGAGATGAGGTCTCGCTGCCCAGGCGGGTCTCGAACCCGCGGGCTCAGGCAATCCACTCACCTCAGCCTCCCCAAGGCGCGGGATTACAGGCTGAGCCACCGAGTCCGGCTCCAGGTCATAATTTTAAATGAAAGAAATATCACTTTTGTATACATGCATCTCTTTGTGTTTATTGGTTATATTTAGAAAAGAGCAGAGGCTCACAGGTCATATCTGACCCACCACCTATCTGTGTAACATTTTATTGGCACACAGTCACATCCATTTATTCCATTCATTTATGAATCCAGCTGTTTTGGTGACACAGATCCAAAGTTTAGTAGTTATGGACAGACATCTGGCCCACAAAACTAGAAGTATTTACTTAAAAGTATTGACAGGCTGGGTGTGGTTACTCTTGCCTGTAATCCCAACACTTTGGGAGGCCTAGGTGAGAGGAATGCTGGAACCCATGAGTTGAAGACCAGCCTGGGCAATGGCAAGACCTCGTCTCCACAATAAATCAAAAAATTAACCTGGTGTGGTGACACACGCCTGTAATTCCAGTGACTTGGAAGGCCAAAGCAGTTTGAGGCTGCAGTGGTCAAGACTGTGCCACTGCACTCCAGCCTGGGCAACAGAGTGAGACTTCGACTCAAAAAACAAGAAAATATTTACAGTAAAAGTGTGTCTATTTCTGGTTTAGGGCAATATTTTGGACCCTGCGAGCAAATTACCTGGACCATTTGTTAAACATACCCAACCCTAGGCCTTACCCAAAACCTAGACTAGATTCCTGGAAGGAGACTGCTAAGAACCTGCTTTATAAACAGCTCTCTGAGTGATTCTGATACTTTCTGAAGGTTAACAACGTTGGTCTAGAGACTGGAAGACTTCAACTCAGCTGGAATCCGGAGCCTGCCCCAGGGAGGGCTGGTTCTGAGGAGTTTCTGTTGAACAGTTGAGATGTCTGCCAAGCAGAGATACGCATTTAAATAAGATCAACCTTCCTTCTGGAGGGATGGAGCTCAGCCTTCTCGGACATCTTTCTTTATCATTCTCACCAGTATTTAAAAAGTGACAATTACTAAACCCCTAGGCTGCCCAGGCCTTATAAGTATTATCTCATGACTCCTTGCAACAACCTCAGGAAGTAGGTGCTAATATTGATCTCAGTTTGTAAATGAAGGCGCTGAACATCAGAAAGGTTAAACAATGTGCCAAGTTGCCCAGGCTGATCTAGAACCCCTGACAATCCTCTTGCCTCCGCCTCCCAAAGTACTGGGATTACAGGCATATGCCACTGCTTCCGGTCAACGATTGCTCTTAACTCTTAACTACTCTGACCTTGCTACCAGTAACACTTGATGTCACAGTCAGGAACAGTGGCTCACACCTGTAATCCCAGAATTTTGGGAGGCTGAGGCAAGAGGATTGCTTGAGCCCAGGAATTCAAGGTCAGCCTGGGCAACATATTGAGACCTTATCCCTCCAAAAAAATAAAAAAATCAGCCAGGAGTGGTGGCACGTGAGTGACTGTAGTCCCAGCTACTCAGGAGACAGACAGAGGGAATCACCTGAGCCCTAGAGGTCGAGGCTATGGTGAACCTGAACATGCTACTGCACTCCAGCCTGGGCAGCAGAGTAAGACCCTGACTCAAAAAAAATAGAAAGAAAAGAAAAGATGTGATGTCACCTAGAGATGATTTGAACCTGACCTTAAGGAATTTCTAGGTCAAATGAGGCCTAGAACAGCTTGTCTTAGTGTTCTTGGCACGTGAAAGGGAATGCGGTAAACTCTTTTAAATACTACAGACTGGGTTTATTCCAATTAAGAGGGAAGATAGGATGGTTTAACAGGATTAAATCTACCGCAGGTAGATGACACTGGTGAAGAACTATCACATATTGGTGTGATTTTTGAGGGGGATCTTTCCTGAAGCAGAGAATTTTACATAAAGAAATCCTCTGGCCGGGCTCGGTGGCTCAGCCTGTCATCCCACGCCTTCGGGAGGCTGAAGTGAGTGGATTGCCTGAGCCCGCGGGTTCGAGATTCGCCTGGGCAGCGAGACCTCATCTCTACAATAAATCAAAAAATCAGCCGGGCGTGGTAGCGCGCGCCTGTAATTCCGGCTACTCGAAAGGCTGGGGCAGAAGGATCGCCGGAGCCCAGCAGGTTGAGGCTGCGGTGGCCGGGAGCAGCCACTGCACTCCAGTCTGGGCGACAGAGTGAGACTCTGACCCAAAAAAAAAAAAAAAAAAAGAAATCCTCTGCCGGGTGCAGTGGCTCACGCCTGTAATCCCAGCACTTTGGGTGGCAGAAGTGAGAGGATCACCAAAGCACACAGGCTCGAGACCAGCCTGGACAATTTGGCGAGACCTTGTCTCTACAGTAAATGAAAAAATCAAACGGGTGTGGTGGCAAATGCCTGTAGTTCCAGCTACTTAGAAGGCTGAGGCGGAAGGATCACCAGAGCCTGGCTGGTAGAGGCTGCAGTAGCCGTGGGTATGCCACTGCACTCCAGCTTGAGCGACTGAGTGAGACTCTGACTCAAAAAAAAAAAAAAAAAAAGAAATCCTCCAAGTCATAGAAGCTTACTATTTCAAGCATTGAAAACTTTTACTTGTTTTTATTTTTTTGAGACAAGTTCTTGCTCTGTTTCCTGGGCTGGAGTGTAGTGGCATGATCATAACAAACTCCTGGGCTCAAGCCATCCTCCTACTCCAGCCTCCCAAGTAGCTCGGACCACAGGTGTGCACATTGTGCCTATCTATTTATTTATTTATTGTAGAGCTGGGAGGAGGAGTCTTGCTATGTTGCCCAGGCTGGTCTGGAACTCCTGGCGTTAAGCAATCCTCCTGCCTCAGACTCCCAGAAGTGCTGGGATTACATATGTGAGCCACCACACCTGGCCCCTTTTACATTTTAAACCCTTTGAGAGAAGTTTTTCAAAAAGGCCCCAGGGGTAGTTGTTGGGAGCCAACATCTATAGCTACATGGCTGAGGCCTGTAGAGGCCCATCTGGAAGATCGCCTCTGACATAGGATATCAGTTATACCTATAATATTGGCGTGTGATTAGTGACCAGTGTGCATACATGGCAGTAAAACTTAT